CAAAAAAAGGATGTTCATAGAAAAAGTAAAATTTTATCCTTATCGCCATTTTTGCACAACAATGTTATTAGAGTAGGTGGTAGGTTATTAAATTCTAACATTACATTTCATAAAAAACATCCTATTATCTTACCTAAATCTCATCATTTCTCAGATCTAGTAGTTAGATACGAACATGAACGATTGATGCATTGTGGTGTCCAAATGCTTCTTTGTTCCTTGCGAGAAAATTTCTGGCAAATATCAGGTAAAGGCTGTTGTAAAAAAATAGTACGAAATTGTGTAAGGTGTTTTAAGGTAAAACCAAACAATACTACATATCTTATGGGAAATCTTCCCAATTTTAGAGTAAATGAATCACTACCCTTTCTAAATGTAGGGGTTGATTACGGGGGACCTTTTTTATTAAAGGATCGTCAAGGCAGGGGTGCAAAAACCTCTAAATGTTATATTTGTTTATTTATTTGCATGAGTAGTAAGGCAATTCATCTGGAACTGGTCACTGGATTAACTACAGATTCATTTTTGTCGGCATTCAAACGCTTTATAGCACGTCGGGGAAAACCTCATAATGTATACTCCGATAACGGAACAAATTTTACCGGTGCTAATCGAGAACTAAATGAACTATATCAGTTTTTAGAATCTGAACAGAATAAGTTATCAGATTATTTAATTAATGATAAAATTAAATGGCATTTCATTCCGGCACAGTCGCCCAGCTTCGGTGGAATATGGGAAGCCGGCATAAAAAGTGTAAAATTTCATATTAAAAGGGTGATAGGGGAATCTATTTTTACCTTTGAGAATTTTAATACAGTACTGGTTCAAATAGAGAGTATCTTAAATGCCCGACCTTTATGCCCTTTAACCAGTGATCCTGACGATCTTACCCCCCTTACCCCATCCCATCTATTAATTGGAAGATCCCTAATTGCCCTTCCTGAAGGCGACGTTACGAGCATTGCTTCCAATCGACTGAACCAATACCAGCAGATTCAATGTGTTGTCCAATCATTCTGGAAACGATGGCATAAAGAATACTTATCCCAACTCCAAATACGCTCTAAATGGAGTAAATCGACCCAGAGAAATCTTCAAATCGGGACATTAGTCCTGTTAAAGAATGAAAATCTTCCTCCATTATGTTGGGCCTTGGGGAGAATTTCCAATGTTTTTCCAGGATCTGACGGAATAGTACGAGTTGTTGAAATTAAAACCAACAAAGGACACTACCGGCGTTCTGTTAACAAAGTGTGTGTGCTACCCATAGAACAATAATTGAAAGTATTCTTTCAAGGTGGGCGGAATGTTCAGCAGTTTTTGTAATTTTTCGTGCAACGTGGCAACACCGCCACTCTGCCAACAATACCGACTAGTGCGCGGGACGAAGCGTGGAAGGGGGTTGTCTGACCACTTTGACCGGCATGAGAGACTCATATTCTATTTTGTAACGCTACGATAAGCACATGTTTCTTTTAATCTTTTCACAATGTTATAATAAAAGTTTCAAACAAATAGTTACAATATTATTTACACGTTAACACATACCTTGTGGAAAAATAAAACATTTTAGAAAAAATTGCACTTTTTTACTTTCAGCAGGTTAATTAGGTGAAAATATAAGTGTATTCGCTCCGTGCGAAGTCATGGAAAGGGAAGCAAAAGCGATACTAGCGCTAGCTGCGGATAATTCGTGCATTTTAGGGGGATATTTTGTAATTTTGGCATATCAAATACACGTATACATTTTACTTTTTTTCAAAAAAGTAGGTAAAAACAACACGATAAGCAACCGGAGTTGCTGTGTTGAAAATTGTACAAATACTAGCAAAAAAAAAAACAGTGAAACTTATATAACAAATTTCACTAACAAAGTGGAAATTAAATCAAAGAAATAAATGGATAGGTGTACAATAAGAAGAAAAATTACCTTTATTATTGTGATAATAACAGTAATGCTGGAAATAGTAGACATCAGAAACTAGAAAGTTTTTAAATAAACAATAAATTATCATTTTACGATGTTCTTTAATATCCCTTTATTCTTAAATGTTCATTCAGCAAGGACTAGATTTCAAGATTTCTGCCGTTGATTATAATATTTGGCTGGTATGCAATTTTGTGACTTACTGATCGGAAACCAGTTTTAATCATTCATTCTATGTTTTCTTTAGAACAAAAATGAAAATATAAGTAGCGATCCCTTTTATACATTTTAACTTCACGCTATTATAAATGGTTTCTTCAGTGACAACTTATTAAACTTAGGCAACTTCTCATACATTTTCCAGTAAATACTGTTGCCTGCCTATATTTTATTATTGATTTTTAATGATTATACAAAATTTTCTTCAATTTAAGCGTGAAAAATATATAATAATAATAAATTAATGTTTTAATTGTTTTATAAATCCACATACTTTTATTAAAACTAACATATATACTTTTTATTTACGAATTCTATTAAAAATTGTATTTGTCAGTATAGGCAGAAATACTCCTTTAATACCAAAACAAATTGGCGCTGCTGTCGCGCACGGAGCGAATACTCGAGGAATAACTTCAAAAAATATTTTAACTGTCTACTAAAAGAAGTGGACGCCTGTGGATTACAAACGCTTTATTATTTTAATACTCTCTCATATATAAAAATAGACTATATATACTGCAAATTACGTTCATTACATCGCTCTAAACACGGTATACATGCCCGGATTAGACCAAAATATGATACTATGATATTCTCGCGAAAATCCCCCAAAGCAAAATTCCATAATTCGTAACAGACATGTTTCCTTGCCACACCTCACCTTTTGTCTTGAGAATAGTGTGGCAGATTCGATCCCTTGGGCTCTATAAAGGTCTAACTAATTACGGGATTTTTGTTGCCCGAAGGATACGGATGAAAAATTAATTATTACGTCACCCTGAAGGCTTGCGTTTTCGTGAAATAATCAAATGGTGTGTTAGTTGAACGCAATTATGTATAAAATGGACGATATTCAATGTAATAATATAAAAAAAAAATGATAATAGTATTAGTATTATCTTTATTAAATTCTTCTGATAACCCTATTGATTTTTTTTAAAATTAAATGCATTTTTTATGGTGTTTATTTTATGATGTAATAATAAAGTTTCAACCATCTTTAACGAACTGAAACTGAATTGGATATTAAATAGGTCAAATATTGGTACAAAGACGTTGAAAAAATTCAAATATTTTTACATAGATAGGCTTAAAAGAAAATGGGGCCTAATATTTTTTGTTGATAACAGAGGGAACAAATATTTTAATGAGCAAGTTGAAGAGGTAAAAGGGACAAATATTTTTCATTAGCAGGAATGAGAGTATCAAATAGTTTTAGATGTACAGGCTTAAGGGGTAAAGGGTCCAATCTACAACTATAATTTTATGATAACAAAACCTATTAATGAATAATACAGGGTTGTTTTGGGAATAGGAATAATTTCAGAAAATAAAATAAAAATACATATCCATATTAAAAAAAAAACATTGTAAAAGTGTTCAGATAAACCTATTTATTACTATTTTTGTTAAATAAAGGCACCTACGCAAAAAAAAGAAAATTACCCCATTTACTTTTTCTTAAATATCTTGAACTTAAAACTATCAGGATAGCTATTCACTAAGTCATGGGAGCGCTCCCATGGGAGTGCTCCCATATATTTTGCTCTCTTACTCTTAGGTGGGTATATCGTGCTTACTCACTTTTAGCCCAGGTACATGCGTAGTAAGGTCAGATTTTATACTATGGGAGGGAGAATTGCGGGCTTGCCAGATTAGGTCCGTATTTATCACAAAGCAAATTTGAACTACTAAGGGCCGATTCCACCGTTAAGTTAAACGGAGATTAAAATGACATTGTTAAAGTAAAAATGTCATTTTAAACTTCGTTTAACACAACGGTGGATCGGTCCTTAAATAGTAGATCAAAGTTATTCTGTCGACTTGGCAACGTTGGCATGGGAGTATGGGAGCATGGGAGTGTGGGAGTGCTCCCATGAGTTAGAGAATAGGTATCCTGTAAGTGGATCTTTTAATCAAGCAACTTTATCTACATCACGTATATTAATGTTTTTCTGCTAGTAGTATTTTATGTTAGAGGCCACTGACTACTGTTCCCAAATGTAACACGTCACCACCAAAAAACGAAGAGAAATTGAGGTTAAGAAAAAAGAAGAGAAAAGGAGGAAGAAGGTAATGGCGCCGAAAGTGTTCTGTAATGACGCCTTGATGAGAGTTTTATGATTTTGTCTTTTAATTTGAAATATATTGTTGAAAGATCGCTATTATTTCGAATGAAATATACTGAGGAGCCTTTCATATTAAATTGTTTCATTATAAAATCTTTACTTACCTTTAGTGGATATACGAATATATAGTGTTTTCTTTTTGCAGTAATTTCACAAGTAGGTACTCACCTGAAAAAAAAAGAAATATTAAATGTTAAAATGTTAAAAAAAGAAAGAACTAAAAAAATAGAATAAAAAGAAAGTTTGATTCCAAAATTTGAAACAATTTGATTATTTACAGAAAAAGTCGAAATTCGAAAAGTTCCGAAAACTGTAAATTAGTTTTTGGAAACTAATAAATATATAATTAACATTTTTCCTATGACATTATTGAATTTAGAAATTATTTAGTTTAGTTGTAATAGTAATTTACAATTATTAAAATTCAAGACATATTAATATTCGTAGAAATTCATTGAGAAATTCGTAGAGAAATTCGTAGAGAAATTTGTAGAGAAATTTGTAGAGGAATTCGTAGAGAAATTCGTAGAAAAGACGAATTCGTAGAGAAAAGAGATTCTTAGAAAAATTCGTAGAGAAATTCGCAGAGAAATCCATAGAAAAATTCGTAGAGAAATTCACAGAGAAATTCGTAGAGAAATTTGTAGAGTAATTCATAGAGAAATTCATAGAGATAATCATAGAGAAATTAATAGAGAAATTTGTAGAGATATTCGTAGAAAAAAGAAATTCTTAGAGAATTTCGTAGAGAAATTCTAGAGAAATTCGTAGAGAAATTCGTAGAGAAATTCGTAGAGAAATTCGTAGAGAAATTTGTAGAAAAATTCGTAGAGAAATTCGTAGAGCAATTAGTAGAGAAATTCGTAGAGATATTAGTAGAGAAGTTCGTAGAGAAATTAGTAGAGAAGTTTGTAGAGAAATTAGTAGATAAATTCATAGATAAATTAGTAGATAAATTCATAGATAAATTCATAGATAAATTCATAGATAAATTCATAGATAAATTCATAGATAAATTCATAGATAAATTCATAGATAAATTCATAGATAAATTCATAGATAAATTCATAGATAAATTCATAGATAAATTCATAGATAAATTCATAGATAAATTCATAGATAAATTCATAGATAAATTCATAGATAAATTCATAGATAAATTCATAGATAAATTCATAGATAAATTCATAGATAAATTCATAGATAAATTCATAGATAAATTCATAGATAAATTCATAGATAAATTCATAGATAAATTCATAGATAAATTTATAGATAAATTCATAGATAAATTCATAGATAAATTCATAGATAAATTCATAGATAAATTCATAGATAAATTCATAGATAAATTCATAGATAAATTCATAGATAAATTCATAGATAAATTCATAGATAAATTCATAGATAAATTCATAGATAAATTCATAGATAAATTCATAGATAAATTCATAGATAAATTCATAGATAAATTCATAGATAAATTCATAGATAAATTCATAGATAAATTCATAGATAAATTCATAGATAAATTCATAGATAAATTCATAGATAAATTCATAGATAAATTCATAGATAAATTCATAGATAAATTCATAGATAAATTCATAGATAAATTCATAGATAAATTCATAGATAAATTCATAGATAAATTCATAGATAAATTCATAGATAAATTCATAGATAAATTCATAGATAAATTCATAGATAAATTCATAGATAAATTCATAGATAAATTCATAGATAAATTCATAGATAAATTCATAGATAAATAGATAAATTCATAGATAAATTCATAGATAAATTCATAGATAAATTCATAGATAAATTCATAGATAAATTCATAGATAAATTCATAGATAAATTCATAGATAAATTCATAGATAAATTCATAGATAAATTCATAAATAAATTCATAGATAAATTCATAAATAAATTCATAGATAAATTCATAGATAAATTCATAGATAAATTCATAGATAAATTCATAGATAAATTCATAGATAAATTCATAGATAAATTCATAGATAAATTCATAGATAAATTCATAGATAAATTCATAGATAAATTCATAGATAAATTCATAGATAAATTCATAGATAAATTCATAGATAAATTCATAGATAAATTCATAGATAAATTCATAGATAAATTCATAGATAAATTCATAGATAAATTCATAGATAAATTCATAGATAAATTCATAGATAAATTCATAGATAAATGCATAGATAAATTCATAGATAAATTCATAGATAAATTCATAGATAAATTCATAGATAAATTCATAGATAAATTCATAGATAAATTCATAGATAAATTCATAGATAAATTCATAGATAAATTCATAGATAAATTCATAGATAAATTCATAGAAAAATTCATAGAGAAATTCATAGAGAAATTCATAGAGAAATTCATAGAGAAATTCATAGAAAAATTTATAGAGAAATTTATAAAAAAATTCATAGAGAAATTTATAGAAAAATTCATAGAGAAATTCAAAGAGAAATTCAAAGAGAAATTCATAGAGAAACTCATAGAGAAATTCATAGAGAAATTCATAGAGAAATTCATAGAGAAATTCATAGAGAAATTCATAGAGAAATTCATAGAGAAATTCATAGAGAAATTCATAGAGAAATTCATAGAGAAATTCATAGAGAAATTCATAGAGAAATTCATAGAGAAATTCATAGAGAAATTCATAGAGAAATTCATAGAGAAATTCATAGAGAAATTCATAGAGAAATCCATAGAGAAATTCATAGAGAAATTCATAGAGAAATTCATAGAGAAATTCATAGAGAAATTCATAGAGAAATTCATAGAGAAATTCATAGAGAAATTCATAGAGAAATTCATAGAGAAATGCATAGAGAAATTCATAGAGAAATTCACAGAGAAATTCATAGAGAAATTCGTAGATAAATTCATAGAGAAATTCATAGAGAAATTCATAGAGAAATTCATAGAGAAATTCATAGAGAAATTCATAGAGAAATTCATAGAGAAATTCATAGAGAAATTCATAGAGAAATTCATAGAGATTTTCATAGAGAAATTCATAGAGAAATTCATAGAAATTCATAGAAATTCATAAAAATTCATAAAAATTCATAGAAATTCATAGAAATTCATAGAAATTCATAGAAATTCATAGAAATTCATAGAAATTCATAGAAATTCATAGAAATTCATAGAAATTCATAGAAATTCATAGAAATTCATAGAAATTCATAGAAATTCATAGAAATTCATAGAAATTCATAGAAATTCATAGAAATTCATAGAAATTCATAGAAATTCATAGAAATTCATAGAAATTCATAGAAATTCATAGAAATTCATAGAAATTCATAGAAATTCATAGAAATTCATAGAAATTCATAGAAATTCATAGAAATTCATAGAAATTCATAGAAATTCATAGAAATTCATAGAAATTCATAGAAATTCATAGAAATTCATAGAAATTCATAGAAATTCATAGAAATTCATAGAAATTCATAGAAATTCATAGAAATTCATAGAAATTCATAGAAATTCATAGAAATTCATAGAAATTCATAGAAATTCATAGAAATTCATAGAAATTCATAGAAATTCATAGAAATTCATAGAAATTCATAGAAATTCATAGAAATTCATAGAAATTCATAGAAATTCATAGAAATTCATAGAAATTCATAGAAATTCATAGAAATTCATAGAAATTCATAGAAATTCATAGAAATTCATAGAAATTCATAGAAATTCATAGAAATTCATAGAAATTCATAGAAATTCATAGAAATTCATAGAAATTCATAGAAATTCATAGAAATTCATAGAAATTCATAGAAATTCATAGAAATTCATAGAAATTCATAGAAATTCATAGAAATTCATAGAAATTCATAGAAATTCATAGAAATTCATAGAAATTCATAGAAATTCATAGAAATTCATAGAAATTCATAGAAATTCATAGAAATTCATAGAAATTCATAGAAATTCATAGAAATTCATAGAAATTCATAGAAATTCATAGAAATTCATAGAAATTCATAGAAATTCATAGAAATTCATAGAAATTCATAGAAATTCATAGAAATTCATAGAAATTCATAGAAATTCATAGAAATTCATAGAAATTCATAGAAATTCATAGAAATTCATAGAAATTCATAGAAATTCATAGAAATTCATAGAAATTCATAGAAATTCATAGAAATTCATAGAAATTCATAGAAATTCATAGAAATTCATAGAAATTCATAGAAATTCATAGAAATTCATAGAAATTCATAGAAATTCATAGAAATTCATAGAAATTCATAGAAATTCATAGAAATTCATAGAAATTCATAGAAATTCATAGAAATTCATAGAAATTCATAGAAATTCATAGAAATTCATAGAAATTCATAGAAATTCATAGAAATTCATAGAAATTCATAGAAATTCATAGAAATTCATAGAAATTCATAGAAATTCATAGAAATTCATAGAAATTCATAGAAATTCATAGAAATTCATAGAAAATTCATAGAAATTCATAGAAATTCATAGAAATTCATAGAAATTCATAGAAATTCATAGAAATTCATAGAAATTCATAGAAATTCATAGAAATTTATAGAAATTCATAGAAATTCATAGAAATTCATAGAAATTCATAGAAATTTATAGAAATTCATAGAAATTCATAGAAATTCATAGAAATTTATAGTAAATCATAGATTCAAGTTTTTTTATACATATTTTATACTGTACAAACTTTTGACCGATCTAATTGGCATTTTTACCGTAACCAAATAAACCAAAAATACATTTAATAAGAAAATAATATGCTTCTGATGATTATCAAAAGAAAAAAAATATGTCTTCTGTTCCTACAGTCCCCACAAAAAAAACGCTCATTAGGCGACTCATAAACAAAAAGCAAACGAAAAAACGAAAACTCCTTCGCTTTGGAGCATCATTAATAGATCATTGAATTGTTTTTTTTTTTTAGTCTTATTTCTTTCGGAAAAGAGAGGTTTTATTCGAGAAATTAGATAGAACGGAAAATGCAGATTAATTGGATTTGCGTCGCGGACAAGAATTTAATTATTATGGGAGGAAAACTTTCGACAAGCTTATTAATGTCGAAAATTAGATTCCGTTCGGGACAATGATATAGCCGGAACAATTATTCGATTGCAGTTCGTAATTGCCCACGTCCGAACTCATCAAAAAAAATTCGATAATATAGTAAAAGAGTTGGGACGCAGCTAATAAACCAATTAAAAGACCTATTATTGACCTCTATTTGAATATAAATTCTAAATCATATTTTTACATACAATCTGTCCGAGGATATTCAGAAAATTGTTATTTATTTGTATATTTACAGGAAAGCTCAAGTATTAATTTCTTTACAGTATATAGAATGTCAGAAAAAAAGAAGAAATTGTCTGAATACCAAAATTTGCTGAATGAAAGGAAAAGAGAGGAAGACCTGGAAAACCATGTCAATATTACGCATTTTTTTTTTCAAAACCCGAGTCTACTTTGCCAAATATTGTTAGGTAACATTAGTATGCTATTTTTTTTTTTTAGTAAATTTAAAGCGAAAGAAAAGTGACAGCACTACCAGCAGCAGTAGTAATGAAGGTAAAGAAGAGGAAATACAAGTTCAGCCACACTCTAGTCACTCTACTCCAGGCGTTGTCATTGCGACTGTAGGCGCAAGACTTTCTTTTATAATTCAAAGTGCTCAAACTATGGTGCTCGACAGTGAAATTGAAACTAAAGACAACGTTTGTCATGAAGATGATATTGGCAAATTCGTTGGCTTGGCAACCACTATACCAGTTGAGAAGAGAAAGCATATTCTGAAAAATTGCTGGATACCCTCGAGAAACTACAATTTTGCTGCTAATGCTAAACACCTGAAGAAGAAATTTAATCATCACTGGTTGGACATACAGGGTGTTTCTAAATTCATGCGACAAAATTCAGGAGGTGATTGCTCGTATGAAATTAAGATGAGTCTTTCCTATAACAAAATTTCTTTAGCCCACCCCTTTCCGAGATATCACCCTTAAAAGGTGGTGACTAAAATTGAGTTTTTATTTTTTTTCTAATATTTCAGTAAAGCTAGAAACTTGAAATTCTGTAATCGCAAAGGACTAACCACGGGTATTTTTTCAATATTTCTGTTACATTATAGAGGGGTGAAATTAGCAACCCTTACTTTATTTCATATCAAAACTTTTTTTCAAGATGAAGTTTTATGAAATAATTATGTAACTTGAAATACTTGTTTTATTTAAAAAAAAATTCCCAAAACCAATACCTTCATAGAAAAAAAAAAACTGTTTTCCACTCAATTTATTAAAAAAAAAAATGATAAATTAGGGTGTTAATTTTTTTTCTCTGAAGCTATTGGTTTTGGGAAAAAAATTCTAGAATAAAAAAAAATTAAATAAAACAAGGATTTCATAAAAGTTCATCTCGAAAAAAAGTTTTGATGAAATAAAGTAAGTGTTGCTAATTTCACCCCCCTATAATGTAACAGAAATATTGAAAAAATACCCGTGGTTAGTCCTTTGCGATTACAGAATTTCAAGTTTCTAGCTTTACTGAAATTTTAGAAATAAAATAAAAACTCAATTTTAGTCACCACCTTTTAAGGGTGATATCTCGAAAAGGGGTGGGCTGAGGAAATTTTGTTATAGGAAAGACCCACCTTAATTTCATACGAGCAATTGAATTTTGTCGCATGTATTTAAGCGGGCAAAATTCT